AGGAAACTCTAAAGGGTTTAAAAGCTGCATGCCAGGAACCCAGAACATGGATGAAAAGCAACATACATATTTCTTTTTATATCGCAGTATCACAGAGGGCAAGACTGATGGCAGAGCTGTGATAAACTGGTGGAAAGGGGTGGGGAGAAGGACAATCAAGGATTTGGCCAAAGTTTCTGGCTTTGACAACTGGGTGCATGGATGTGTCATCACCCGAGGAAGGGAATTAGGAAGATGAGACAATCAGTTCAATATGAGACATGTTGAATTTAAGATGCTTTTGAGGAGGGAGGGTATACCTCAGGCGGTGGAGTGTGTGCTTCGCGTGCATGAGGTCCTGGGTTCAATCCCTAGTACTCCCTCTAAGAGTAAGTAAGTAAACCTTATTACCTCCCACCACCACTGAAAGAAAAAACAACAACAGGATGCTTTTGAGACATCCAGGTGAGTTATCTGGTGTCCATTTAACTAGTCTGGAATCAGGAAACCAGTTCTGAACTTGGGCCAGAGCTGGAGCCTGGCACAGAGGCAGTCCTCGCCCCAGGCTTCCATGAGGTCTTCCAGGCAGAGGACCCAGGATGGAAGCCTGGGGAATGGAAACTTCAGGGGCGTTAGGGGAGGAAGGACCAGTTAAGAGGGTTGGGAGAAAATCAGGGGAGTGTGTTGTGAAAGAACTCAAGCAACACATGATGTCACACCCAGACACACACTGCAGTGGATTTAGCACAGGCCCAACCACATACAGAGAATGTGTGCACACACACTCACAGGAAAAACAAACCTGTACACATATGAGCAACGGCTGCAGGGGGGGAAGAAAAACCCAGTCATCCCTTTAGGCACAGAGGAGTGTCCCTGCCTTACAAACACCTCCGTAGCCAGGAGTGGGCAGCGATGGAGCAACATTGTGACAGCCTTCCTCTGAGCCTTTGCACATACTGTTTTCTGTGCTTAGAATGCCCTGTTTTCCTCTCCTTTTTCAATCTCTCTTTCTCATTCTTCAAGTCCAGTTTGGATTTCATTTCCTAACTGAAGGCCTTCCATGACCCCCAGCACCCTGTGATTCCCAAGCTGACAATCTCTTTTCTCGTCTGTCCCCCTAGTGGATTCTAGGCAGGCGCCACGACCTCCTGCTTAGCACGCTGGCTGGCATTTGATAAGCATCACACAAGCAAACAGCTAACTTGAATTTTTCAGCCTTTCCTCAAAGGATGTGGTGCAACCCCATAGAATTTACCAAGTAAGTCACAATTACTTAGTTGCATTTAAGACTTCACTGTTTGGTCCCAAACTACCCCTATAACCTTAACTCTGCACACACCTCTCTGCTTCCTCAGCTTCCACCACACTGGCGTAGTCAGGGTTTCTATATACCACCAATCCTTCAATCATCTTTATCAGAAACCAGGCACAGGGAGGGTATACCACAGTGGTAGAATGCATGCTTAGCATGCACAGGGTCCTGGGTTCAATCCCCAATACTTCCATTACAAAAAAAAAATTAGCTTTTTATATGTATGTGTATGTATGACTGAAATTTTATGCTGTACACCAGAAATTAACACAACATTGTAAACTGACGATACTTCAATTAAAGAAAAGAAGCCAGGCAACATCCTAGACCCCTCCCCACTTACCATCCAAGTGTCAACCAGGCTCCAAGTCCCCCCGAGTCTGTCTTATCCTCTTGAAGCCAACTCTTCATCACCAGCCCACTGGCCCTGCCTTAGTCTGGGCTCTCATCATCTCTCAACAATCCCAGCAGCCCTCTGACTTGTCTCCCTGCCTTCTGGTTCTACCCCTTTCCCTCCTTCTCTACACTACTGCAGGGTGATCTTCCTGAAATCTAAATCTGATTAAATCTGCTTGATTATCCAGTGCCTTTCCACAACTTCCACAAACTGAAGGCCCTTATGCTCTGGCTCCTGCATATGCCTTAGATTCTAAACAGGTTGAGCCTTTTTTTTTTTTCATGTACTCCTCTGTCCTCATCACCCTTCCCTGATTTGCCGGTTAAAAAATGAAAAGCTCCAATATCATGTCCCAGATAGACTCTGACAGAGCTGGTCAATCCTTATGATACATTCCTGTTATGTTCTATTTTTGTCTTATTATTTATTTCATGGAGCCACTAAGCTGTAAAGCACAGGGTAGCACATGAAAACAAATTCAGATCTGGATTCAAATCCTATCTCATCACTTACTGTGTCACCTCAAGTAACAATTCAACTTCTCTGAACTCTAGCTCCTTCTGCAATATGAATACAAACCACTCCGAACATAATAGGAGCTCAAAAAACATCAGATCAGCACTTTGTTTTGTAACTGATTATTTACTTTTCTGTTCTCCCCACAAAAATGGAGGGAAACCACCTACAGATCCTACTCCTACCTCCCTGGACCACATGGCGAACCGTGCTATCCTATCACGCAGGTGCTGTAACACACAGACCCCACCTCCCTTTACTCTCTTGGTTCGGATTAAGTATCCAACTCACTCAATTATTTTCCCTCCGTGGGTTCTCATTGTGGTCTCCTGACCCACCAAGAAATGGCCCAGAATACCATCAGTAGACACCTTTCCAGATTGAAAACCCAAAGAAGAAATCTGGCAGCACACAGTCACCCTCACCACGGAGAAGGCTCTTTCCAGCAGCGCGTACTCCTGGGTCTTAGGACTGAGATCTGTACCTACTCCTTCTCTCCCCTTCTCTCCCTCAGCAGCACACGCTCCAGGTACTTCAAACTGTGCATAAGGTAACTCTTTGGACTGCCATCCATGTAAGACACTATGGAATAAAAGTGATAAAAATCAGTTTTTTTCAGTTTGCTCTGTGTATAGGCAAAAAAAGAGTAGGGAGCAGGTGTCCCTGTACCAGCAGTGCTGAGAAGGCTCTCTGGTCTCGGGTCAGGAGAAGCTAAACTGGCTTGGGCTGTGGGTGCCACTGCTGATGACAGTCACGCCACACTCACTGCCAACTTCTACCAGAACATTCACTTCCTGGTTTCTGTGTGAGTCCCAGAACACTTTCCCTCCTCCCACCCAGTGGTAAACTCACATAAGATGGCATTCATTTACAAAAGGTAGGCTATGTTTATTTAGAGTCACAAGCAGTTGACTGACTCAGTGTGACTCGAACCACAAAGAAACCATTTCTTCTTCACTCCATTCTGAGTCTCAGGGTGGGCTGGGGCCCAGGCTGGCAGGAGTGCTGCCTGGGGCCCATTCATAGGTTTACAAGTTTCTCATTGAGGGCAATTTGTGACTGTGTGAGATTGGCCAGGTAGGTCACCATCAGCAGGTCCTGGAAGAGAAGGGATCCACAGTGAGTGAGGGGCTGGGCAGAAAGGGAGCAGAAAGGCTAGCCTCTGATGGACCCTGGGTGTGAGGACAGTTCTGGGTAAATGACAGCTAGGAGACGCTGAGCGAGAGTGTAAGGTGGAAGACAGGAAGGAAACGCTTGAGAACACTTTCTCGTCTCTCCTGATACACCTGAACTGATGGAAACAAGGAAGCAGGAGGGGAATCTCCATGCACGTGGACTCCCTTCCTTTCTCCCAGCCTGGACTGCAGGGGGGCCACGGGCAGAGCCCTGCCTCCTCTGTCCCCACCAGGCCCCCTCCCCAGAAGCCCCTCACACACGAGCACATGCTGAAGCGGGGGAAGGCACAGCTCTGAGAAGCCCCGGGCTGGCACTCACGTTGATGTTGCTGTTGAGCATGGTCTCGAAGTCCTCGGGAACTATTTTGGGGACTTGGTTAACCAGACTCATCAAGAAGCGGCCCACGGTATTGTCAGCAGACACCTTTCCAGACTGAGCAGCAAATGCAACGAGGCACAGTTAATTCTCACCCCTGAGACTACTGCTCCACCTGTGCCCCCCTCATGATCTCAGGGTGAAGGTCCCTGCGCACTTCCCCCTCCTTCCCCTCCTCACCAGCACGTCCTCCGCATACTGCAGCACCGTGCTGAGGGCGTCCTGGATGCGGGCCGATGCCCCGCCCACCTGCTGCAAGTCACTGGAGAGGCCGATCACCCGGTTGGGGCTAAAACAGGTCTTCATGATCAGGTCAACTGTGGGAGTGGGTTCGGAGAAGAATAGAGATTTCAGTCATCCCATCAGGAAAGAGATCTCTAACCACTTCTCTTTGGATGCAGTCAACTTTCCAAAACTCCCCTGCTCTGCCCTTATTAGCTTTTCTTCCACCTGAGAGGGCTCAACTCCTGCACTCAGCACGGTAACCATCAGTTTTGGCCTCATATGAATGGCCATGTAGCCTCTGGTGCTGCTAATTTCCCACCTCTAACAACTTCTCAAATAATTCCTTGAGTCCCACTTATATAGGAGAATGACTTACTTCTAATAATAGTCCGTAGATCACACTGATCACAAATCTTAGATCAACAGTTCCTCTTAACCCACCCAAGGCCCCCTATCCTTGTTACAGGACAGAACCCCCCTTCCCTGAAAAATGCCAAAGACTAAAAAGAGGGTATGGGAAGGTCACTCACCTCCGATGCGTTCAGTGTCATAATACGCATATTTCACTGTCAGCGGTGTGAACATCACCCCCATGGTCCTCCCAGGAACACCCATTAAAGTGCTAGGGAGACAGAAGGCAAGGTTAACAGACGGCCTTGGGAGAGGGTTTCCATGTCTAGTCCAGGCTGGGAAAGCAATCATACCAAGGGTACGGCACCTGAGTTTCTGAGATAAGAAGGCCGGACCACTTGAACCTCAGAGATAATGGGGAAAAGTCACTTCCTCCCCTTAGCTCATTCCACACACCAAACCCTCGGCCTGAGAGAGGGGACTCAGCTTCTGGGCTGGGCCTGGACCCATCAGAGGATGATTTCACACACTGCGCAGTCTCAGTGGTGAGGACAGGACACTGCATTTCCCTGTGGGACTGGCTGCCTAGACATCCTCCCCCATGGAGAGAAGTGACAGGACACGTCTTTTCTGGGACTGAGCCCCTCATCAGCACTGAAAAAAAAAATCGACGCTGGCCCACCAAGATAAGACTGGGTGCTACAAATAATCTGACTAAAGGTGATCGCCTTTACTATGTCAACTATACACTTTTATTGGATCTTAAAGAGCCAGAAATACCTGGAAAGGCTAAGAAATCAAGCAGTGGCTAGAACTTAGTGGTACTCCAACTGGCCCATAAGGACTTGACATCCACCACCTTTGTCTTAACCGATAATGGTTAACTGGTCACGTCAGTGTCAGATACAGAAACAGCACAGAGCTAAACAGAGTAAGAGACACACTAACAAAGGGCTTCATTCTAACCGGAAAACAGAATTGTTCCAATTCCCACAGCTGCCCCTCTGGCACCCCACCAGAGCCTTTCCCAACACTCCCATCAAGCAGCTCTCCACTGACCGCGAGCTCAACGTGCCAACAGTGTAACGTTACTGGCGTCCAAGCTGTGCTCTATCCCAGGTTAACAGACGTGTTCAAAATAAGGACAGTCATCCTTTAATCTGCATGGCCCTGCGTCCTGTGCGCAGTTCTAGGGATGACGACAAACTGAAGGGCAACTCAGAAAAGCAGTGAACATGGAGAAGAACCACGGCCAGAGCACCACGAGGGGACCAACTACAGGACTATGGAAGAGTTAGCTTCCAGAAAAGACGACATGAAAAACAAGCTTGTCCAAATACCTAAAGGGCTGCCATTTGAAATTGGTTATGAGCGACGAGCAGAAATCTGGGCTAGCCTCAGCTCAGTGAGTGGAAACGTCAGGGATAGGTTTTGTTTTAGAGTAAAACCTCTCCAGTGAGAACTGAGTGAGGAAGGGCAGCGAGTCACACACTGAAGGCTGCTGCCCGCGCGGGGTGGAGGTGAGGCTGGAGTCCCCGGTCACCTGACATAGGCCTTGATGCTCATGCGGCCGTTCTGGAGGCTCGTGTCCACAGTGAGGTGGATGGGGCTGGGGGCTTCCCGGCTGTAGTACTCGTGGATCAGCACAGAGTGCTCTGTGATGTCATGGCCCGTGGCGTACCTGGAAAACAGGGACATAGCTGTGGACTCACGTCTACATGTGACATCAATACCAAACACGAATATCTTGTAGTAACTTACAGTGAGAAACCATATGAAAATGAGTATATATATGTTCCTATATGACTGAAGTATTGTGCTGCACACCAGAAATTGACACAACATTGTAAACTGACTATACTTCAATAAAAATATATTAAAAAAGAACCAAACACGATGGTGGTGTGGGTGTCTCTAGGTAACTGACACCCTTACAGTAGTGATACCCTCGGAGGCAACACACGCCAAAAAGAATAAGCACACTGAAAATTGTATCAAGTCAAATATAGGCTGACCTAGAGCTCCTGAAAAATTCTAAGTCACCAGGAAGACATAAAAAGACCTGCTCAGTAAAAGCTGCACTTCAGAGTAAGTAGTATTCTGGGCCTCACAGGATCAGAACTGCCAGCAAAACACACTGAGTTCACAGCTCCTTGAGGTGACAGACTTCAATACTCTGTCTCCAAAAGAGGGAGTATGACACCTAGTCTGGTGGCAGAAGACGCTGGCAAACACTAGGACCTTCCATCCTCCCCAACCCTCAACCCGCTCCCCCCGAAACTTACCAGCCCAGGATAAGCTCATTTGGAGAGACTTTCTTGTGCAGTTCATACATGTTCTTAGCAAATTCCATGTCAACAGCCACCTAAGGAGGCAGGCAGGAGAGGAAGCTAAGAAGCCAGAAGTCCACAGCAAAATCAATAAAAAGGCCAGGAGGCCGCCCCCAGCAGACAGAAGAGGCCCGGGAAGTATGCACAAATGGGCGAAGCTTTCTGAACTGGAGGAGCTCTAGGATGAGCAGGTCACACTGCGGTGCGGGAAGGAAGGGTTGTCTGGAGCGTCCCACTCACCTCATCTTCTGACTCGTTGTGCGGCACTGAAAAGCAATTGGTGACTTCCACTGAGTGCTTGTCGACGGTTCCTGTGAGACAGAATTGTCCACGTGTTATAAAACCCCAGGATACCCAACTGCCCTCAACCGCTTTCCAAATGCTTTCAAGAGGTTTCCTCAAAGTCAAAGAACAACAAAAAACTGGACTCATAAGCTCCAAGTTCAGTCACGCGCATCAATGGAACTAGGGTTCTCCAGAGAAAGGAAACTCTGGCGTGATCTCCAACTCTTTTCTTTAACGCTCAACAAATAGGGTCGAGCCTTCCTTCACCAGGTCTCCTTTTGCTGGTCTGTCACTTCCTGCTACAGTTACTCTAGATCTTCATTCCAAGATCTTCATTATTTCAACCTCTGCACTTTCTCCTTATAATTTAATCCGCAGAGCTACCTGGAAGTTTCTAACCATGTCTACATAGACCACCCTTTCGGTAGCCTATTCTCAGAGCACAATTTCAGGGAGCTTCACCTGTACCTCCCATCCTACATCTGGCCCCACATTCATAACCTCAACCCCACCATTATCCAGGAACCTTCTCCCTGTGAACATCAATGTCAGCCTCTCACCACAAACTTTTATTCTAGTGCTGAAGATACCTTTACTCCTGCTACATTTGTTTCTTGACCTCACTGAGACTGAGAGTCCCTCGACCGCTCCATTTTTATCTAATCTACTGGCACCTCCCACCCAGGCTTCAAGTGCTTTCTTTTCCATGACAAACCACAATGTCATTTATACCCATCAGTGTCTGTTTAATTCCACTTCACCATGGTCTCTGCCCCCTTAGCTGAAACTATGTCCCCAAACCCAATGGATACATGCTCTTTATCTTATCTGACCTCTTGTCAACTGACTTGACCACTCCAAGCTTCTGAAACAGTTAAGTCTTCTGTATTTGCATGCCACTAGAACACTCTCGTATCAGAGCATTTATCACATTATATTCTAACTATCTGCATATAAGAGTACATCTTCATCTTAAATTTTAGAGTAGAGCTCATTTCATCAAACTTTGAATTCTAAGTAACTAACAGTTTCTTGGTACAAAGGCACCAGTGACTTCATTTAACCAAATGGAATATGTTTCATGGATTAACTTCTGAGAAAATTTCTAAGTTTCTTGCAAGCAGAATCCATGCTTCATTCTTCAGTAAGCACTGCCTCTATAACTGCATCACGACCCCACTCTGAGAGAGGATTTGAAGACCGAGACCACAGCTGGTCTAACTAGGGTCTCTGTACTATTTGGGGGCACTCAGCTCAAACCTAGGATGGAGAAATGTTTCTTTAGTTAAACAGCCCTAGTGAGTTTGGAAAATCTGATGGTGAAGCTGAAAAGGTGAGCTAGTATTTGAGTGCCAAGTCACCGATACAAAAAACATTTATTACAGAAGCTCCAAGATGGGTACAGTCACAGAATCCTGTCATACTCTGGGAGGTTAAGAATGGGGGTGAGGGTGGGGGCATGGATGAACGCCTGATACTGAACACTTTTCCTGGGAACCTGGAAGATGAGTGGAACTTAAAGAAACAAATGAGGGAGAGCAGGGGAGGGACCTGGGGCAAAGAGAATACAAAGACCTGGCTTGAGAAAACTGCGGTAATGTTTGAAAGACAATGGAGCAACTTAAGTTTCTATAAAATGCTACATCTTCAAAGATAAAGAGGAATAGAATATGTGTGTGTGTGTGTGTCAGGAGCGTGCTTGATGTGACAGAAGATGGCAATCAACAGCTATTAAGTACCTGTTCTGTGCCAGCAGTTAGATGCTTTCTCAAATAATTTAGTTCTCAAAAGACTAAGTGTAAAGTAGCCCCCGAAGGAACTAGACTTTAGGTGAATTGTCTTAAGGCACATGGCCAATAGCTGCTGGAGTCTGTCTACACCTCTCGTCCTCTTTGCAATACACCAGGTGTCTTCCAGGGTGAAAGCACCGTTACGTGTCCAAGAGTAAGAAAGAAAAATGATACTAAAGAGAAGCGAGTAAAGTGGGTTCACAAAGGTGTCCAAAATCTGTGATTAAGATGGAGTCAAAATGAATTTGATGGGGCCAGCAGTCCCCAGAGAAAGAGATATATTGTCAGAAACCCCTCTTTAGGGCTTCTCAGTTTTACTTTACTATGAAATATCCACTCCCCAAATTTGGAACATGGGCAGGGAAAGGGTTATTTCTCCATTTGAACCTTAATACAAATAATAGATAATACAATTGTTTGTGTTCAAATGGACAATCAAAGACTACATAGGGGGAACAGGGTCTATAGCTCATTGGGGGCCAGTATTAAGTAGACTGAGGAACAGAGGATCCCGCTTAGATGTTCAGAAAAGCAGAATATTATTGAAACCCCAAGTGGGTTCCTGCCAAACCGGTTTACTTGTTGAGAGGGATATATTTTCACAGATGTCCCCACACCCTCTTGCCAACTTGTTAGAAGAAACTTCGTTGTAAACACCTGGAAAATAAAGATATTTAGCAGTAGATGAGGGGGGAAAACGTGGTCACTGGGTCTGGGGAGTGAAAGGTTTCTGACGTCCTAGTCAGCATTTGAACCCATTTTTCGTAGATCGGGACTAATCGTACTTGACATGAAATGCTCCTTGGAAGATCAGCAATAAAACGTAAACCACTCGGCACACGGTATTTATTCAACAAGGCACTACGATGCGGGTGAAAAGTGAGGGGAACAACACAAAGGGGAGGTGGGAGGGAGAGAACGTCAGTCCTCTCTGAGCACTCACCCAGCAGGGTCCCGATAACTCGGGCGGCGCCCTCGTTGCGTCGCTCATAGCTGTCCACGATGGAGGCCAAAATGACCGGGTGCAGCCGGACCACGCGGCCGCCGGGGAAGGGGCCTGGGAGAGCAGGACTAGGCAGCGACTGCGCCGGCGTCTGCGCTGGGGCTGGCGCTGAGGCTGGGGTCTGGCCCCGGAGCCGCTTCCCAGCCGCTGCTGTCGCCCGGTCAGA